ACTGCATCCCAAGCCTTCACCTCAATTCCTCGCACCAGAAGAACACCACCTAGTCCTAGACCCTGCGGTGTTTCGGATTGCGGGTTGGTGGTGGCCTTTTTGGCTTCCTTACCTTCATAGTATAATAGTATATGGCCCTAACCAGAAATCAAGATATCCCCGAGAGAGCTTCTTCCCCCCTTTGAAGGAGCCCTACAAGTAATCAGAAGTCTTTGGGCACCTTGGCAAAGCCTAGGACTGATTCCAGTCGTCCCGGATCTTCCAATAGCCCTGCAACTTAGGAATGGACACCGTAAGTTTAGGGATTAGGATTTAGGGTTGTAGTAGGATGCCGAAGATGATTTTCAGGTATGTTGCATATTGTTTGAGTTTAGGTGATGTAGGAAAAGAGCCCTACTCCAAACTCTCAGGCGCTCTCGAAACTTCAGAGTGTAGAAAGCCACTACCCTCAAAACCCTGAAGTGCCAAACCCAAACACGAGCCCTAAAGCCCTAAATCTGAAACTCTTAACCATCTCTTAAGCCCTAAACTCTATGGATCTGTCGAGGCTGCTTTGCCTTACCTGCTGCTCTGATCCTGGCATCATCCCACGCCGGAAATTCATACTCCAAGCCGGGCCGCTGCACACGCATTTGAGGCTTCCTACGGTTGATGATGTAAACCCTGCATTACCCATAATAAGGAATATACCATTATTCCCATAGTTTAGGGCCCTAAAGGTAATGCAGGTTTTTATATCATCACCCTAAACCCTACACCCTAAAACCCTATAGACCCCTTAAAGGAACCCCCTTAAAGGGTACCATTATCGATCCCTTTATCATAGTTTTGGTGTTCAGGCTTTCGGGCTTCAGAACCCTTAACCCCAAGTCTAGCTCCCCAGCCCCCTAAACTTAGGATGTCCTTAAGGGGGGGTGGTCCAAGGGGGGTAGGTAACCTAGTAATCCCCTTTATTCCCCAATACTCCCTAAGCTTCCCTAAGGTTCCCCAAAGCTCCCTAGTACCCTCCCCCCTTGAAACCACCCCCCCTTAAGGATCCTATAACCCTAAAGTTCCTTATCGCCAGGGTCTCAAACCTAATTCATGCCTAAAGCCCCCTTTGAACCCCTGAACCCCTAAACCCCGAAACCCTAAACCCCTAAACCCTCAAACCCTAAACCCTGAACAGTACAAGGATGCTATTATTCTTTAAGCCCCCCCCTCCGACCCTAAAGCCTACCTGTAGGCTCACACCTACCCCTTTTTGAAGGTACCGAGCTCTTTAGTTAGGATCTGTTATATAGAAAAGCAGGTAACCTGAACAAGGGGTAGGGTATGAGCGAGCCCTATGGAAACTCCTAAACCCTAGACTCCTATACTGCTCAAGGATTCTATTATTCCTGAAGCCCGCCTCAACCCCAACCCTAAACCCTAAACGGTTCAGGGATCCTTTCATTCAGGGTCTTTCTTCAAGGTTCATGGGACGTAGTAACCAGGGTTGTAAATGAGGTAAGTATGAGGTAACTATACTTATACGTAATTGTAACCCCGGTTAAGGTACGTATAACTGTGCTTACTAAGTCCCATCCATATGTCCTTTATAGAACCCTTTAAGGAACCCCGGAAGGAACCCCTTTTAGTCGCTAATTTTGATCCTCCAAGTATACCCTAAACCCTAAATACTCAGCCCCAGGCTCCATAAGGGACCCCTATTAGATCCCGTTTGACGGAGTGCCCATGATTACATGAACCTCCAAGTTCTTCTGAGGATGCAGAAGGAGCTCACCGAGATGCTAGGCTCGGGGATATGTTTGTTTTTTGTGGTTTTAAGCGGGTTTTTAGGGGTTTAGGGGTTCTAGGGGTTTGGGGATTTGTTGGTTTTAGGGTTTCAGAGGCTTTAGTGGTTTAGGGTTCAGGGGTTTCAAGGCGTTTAGGGTTTATAGTGTTTTTGAGGGTTAAGTGTTTAGGATTTTGGGTTTAGGGGTTGTGAGGGTTGTAGGGCTTTTCAGGGGTTTAGGGTTTTCCGGTTCACGGTTTCGGGGTTTTGGATTTTGGTGTTCCTTTACGCACGGCTCGTTTTTGAGGGTTCTACAAGAGCTTAACCAAGGGGCTCGTGGGTTTCAAGCGTTCCTTTGAAATGTACAGTTCGAGGGTTGTATATTCAGAAGGGTATGCATCGTTTTTGTTCGCGGGTTTTTGTGTTGAAGGGTTCTCCGGAAGTGATCCACAGCCGCTTAATTATACAGGAGTTATACGGATTTTATTTTGCAGGTTTCTGTTAGGGCTTATACAAGGGTCAGATTTGGGTAGGGTTGCCTTAGGACTTTTAGGCTTTCTGGCTCTGGGGTTTTCGGCGCCCGAAACAATGTATTCTCATTGTTCAGATTGTTCGTGCTTTCAGGCAAAAATGGTTTGCCTCGGAAGTTTTGGAGGCTTCAGGGGCTTGTGGAGGATGCCCTGAATCGGGGAAACATAGTTGGAGATTCATGAGCATTAGCAACTAGGGTAGTTGCAACTAGGGTAACCATGCTTACAACTACTCATACACCCAGTTAAGCTACTCATCACTCGTCGTGCATACCCCAAACCCCACGCCCTATACCCCATACTCCAAACCCCAAAGCCTATACCCTAAACACATAAACCCTAAACCCTAAACCCCTAAACCCTAAACCTTAAACCCTAAACCCCAAACCCTAAACCCCTAAACCCTAAACCCCTAAACCCTTAAACCCCTAAACCCTAAACCCTAGTACTTTTAGCGATATAGGAGGCTTGGTAAATCCTTCGTAGGAGCGAGGCTCGGGTTCCCAGCTTTGCCCGTTACTCTAAGGGTCCCTAGAATAAGGGGACCGAAATGATTACCAATACTATGTTTGGGGGTTCCTTAATATGAATATATGTAGTAAAAGGGTTCCTAATAAGGTGACCTAAATGATGTTTGGGGGGTTCCTTATTATAAATATATGTAGTAAAACAGTATATTATTACCCAGATAGTAGAGGTTTTGTCCCCGAATGGCCCGAATGCCGCAGGTTATGATGTGCTTGGTAAGGGCCAGCCTACCGGTCAGCTTGACGTCGCGGCTCTCCTGCACTGCAGACAGCGTACGTATCTCCATCGCTCTCGCTCTCTCTCTCTCTCTGTCTCTCTCTCTTTCTCTCTCTCTCTCTCTCTCTCTCTCTCTCTCTCTCTCTCTCTCTCTCTCTCTCTCTCCCTCTCTCTGTAATGGGGCTTTTGCAGGGGAGCTACGGCATTCAAGACCTCTAGTCCCACGACCTCTTGCGTAACTATCAACCCTAAACCGATGCCACATCAAAGCCCTAGGCCCTGCGCCTGGTCATCGAACCGATGTTCGTCTCCGGTCACTGTAAGCACAGGTTCAGATGCTAGGGTTCAGGACCTGCTTTGGGTTGGGCCTAAACATATCCGCGACCTCCGAATGGTTGAATTTGCAAGTAATGTCCAAAAGTACATGGTAGTATCCCCAGCGGTCGCAAGCACACGAAGACTGCTACTTGTCAAGAGTGTAAATCTGGTGGGCCAGCCTAGTAAGGTTCCGTATACATATACCCACATCGCACATACCTTGCCTGTAATGTACGTAGGGCCAACGTCTATATATATATATATATACACATTTGTATAAGGTATAAAACCAAATAAATAATCTGCGCAAGTGGACGCTTAGGGACAGGGCTGACGTCCGACCCGCGATTGCGGTCCTGATGTTTTGTCTCCACGAAGCACGCAGATTAAGAGAATCTGCGTAGGAGAAGACCTTGAGCTGGACAAGTCGAGCCTAAACCTTAAGCCCTACAAGTCTTAGATATTCGAGCCTGATGATTTAAGGTGGGTGTCTTGTGGTTGTTGGTTTTCGTGTGTACAAGCAGCTTCCTGCGAGGCCCCATGAGGTGTCGGCATCCTCTCGTAAAGACAACTCTTTGTCATAGCCGGGTTAATTTTACATTCTTGCGGGTACTTAAGCCCAAGAAAAGAAGGAAAAGAGATGATAATTGATCATTGTTAAGCCCAAGAAGACTACAACTTATCATGATCAGTACTTTCCCAACCATGGACCATTGCAGTTGGGCACAGGTTCTCGGACTCTAGGGGAAGACCCTGAGCCCCAAAACCTGTGACCCCGTAAAACTCCAAACTGGTCCTTGGGATCCAAAAACCTACTGTTTTAGGAGTTCTTTGGGGAAATCCATAAGGTATCTATAGGGCTTCCTTTAAAGGGTCCTTTAAGGGAATCCATAAGGGATCTATACCTTGGGATCCAAAAACCTACTGTTTTAGGGGTTAGACCCTGTAATTTTAGGGTCACAACCTACTATTCTCTAGGGTTTGGGGTCACAGAGTGTTTGTTTAGGGTCTTAGGGTTTAGGGTGTTTACGGTTTGAGGTGTTCCGGCGCTACTGAACTAAAAGGATCATGTGACGTAGCAGCAGGGGCTCGAAACCAGGTAGCTATACCTGAATTCATAATGTTACATATACCCCTGCCCCCAACAACAAAAAACAAAACAAAAATGTACCTGGTAATATGGTCATTATTGACTTGCTACATCCCACGATCCTGTCCGCAAGCCTTAAGAGCGGTGATCTGAAATCCTGAGCCCAAAGGATACATGTGCCTTTACAGCAGATACTTAAGACTTACAGGGGTCCCTATATAGGTACCTTAAGGCCTAAGTATATACGATACATGGGTACCATGGCCTCTTATACCCTAAACCCTATAGAACCGTTTAAAGGACCCCTTCAAGGAACCCTTTAAAGGATCCCTACATGGTTACATGGAGCCTTAGTGGAGGGAGGCTGCGGGGTTCAGCATTTCGGGGTCCAGGGTTTGGGTTGTTTAAGCGATTTAGGGTTTGGGGTTTAGGGTTCCAGGGTTTGGGTTGTTTAGGGGATTTGGGGATCGGATCGGACTGCGTTCATGTCTGACGACGTCGGACTGCCGTGTTGGCAGCACAGTTAATTAACTATACACTCAAATGCAATCCTCAAGACGCCTTAACCGAGTCCCGCTTCTCGGAGAAGGGCCTCGAAAACACCGGCTTGCACTTCCGTGAGGGCTGCAAGAACAGCATCACGAGTGCTAGCACTCGCCAGCTGCCACTCGGAGAGGGCACATCTGCCGGCGATAGAAAACTCTACATCACATTGCTCTGTATCAAGCAAACCCAGAGTGTAAAACTTAGCAAGCTGCTCACCGGAAACCTGATCGGGGACAGGCCTTGGCAGTGGTCCGGGCACCCTAGCAGCAGGCAGGGAAAGCGTGGCTGGCAGAGGAGATGTGGCGGGAGCAGGGGCATCAGGAGCGCACTGGGCGAGCTGCGCTGCAAGGACAAAATGTCCACAAGAGAGCTTGTCATGGTGGACGTGCCTCAGAAGACGCGACCTGTGCCAGAAACGGTGTAGGCAGGCCGGGCACGTGTGCTCCGGCGTCAGCTGGGCAAGGACAGTTTGGTGGCCGTGCTTGCTCCAGCTGTGTGCCCTAACCTGCTGGAGCGTGGCGAAACGCTCCTCACAATCTTCGCATTGAAAGGGCTTGAGCCGCAAATCTTCGGCTACAATGGCGTCGGAAGTGGAATCGCACAAGCCGACAGCCCTGCGTTTGGCACGGCGAATCTGGCCTCCAACCTTGTGCGGGCTGCACACGGACTCGTTAAGGAAGGCCTCTGCCGTAGCATAGGCTTGATATCTCGGTGTGCCGGAGCACAACTCATCAAACCATAGCACAGCCTTGTCGGCAGCAGACCACCAGGAGTGCTCCGTGAGCTCTGCCTCCTCACGTAGGGCATCAACAACCTGGGTCTGGTGTAGGGCACCGAGCGCACGCAGGTGCTCTATAGAAGGAGGAAATTCCATGTTTGCAGAGGCATGGGCCGACCGACTTGTTTGCAGAGAGCTGCAAGAGCTGGGAAGGTGGGCCCATGCTCGGTGATAGTTGGCCGCGTTGCAGCGCGGTAAAGGGCGGCGATTCCTCCCTGCCAGAGTAGTCGGGTCGAGGCATCCAAGTCCCCCCAAATTGCGACACCATAGGCGGCACGGCTGAACGCGAGGGTGTCAAGCAGCTGTGACCGTGTGCCTTGTTGTACATCTTTACGCCGAAGGACCTTCTTGGCGAGGGGGTGGGCGGCGCCACCTGCGGCTCCCAGCTTGCAGCGGATGTCTTTGGCAGGGCGTGCCTTGGCAGCAAGCGTCGTGCCGAGATGCTTGTACTGAAAGACACACCGCAACGGCACTTTAGGGACGACCTGCAACTCGACACAGCCCGCGCCCGTTCTAAACAGGTCCTTGGCGGCTAGTCTGGCTCCGGGGCCTGTGAAAGAGACCAGCGCCTCCGTTTTGCCCTGCCCGTAGTTGGGCTGCATCGCACGCTTCAGGCAGGCCTGGTGCAGCACCCGGCCGGTGAGCTCCATTGCCTCGCCGAGCCGTGGTGCAGGCGCTGTGATCGGTAGGGCCAGATCGTCGGCCCATGTGGGGACACTGTAGCCGGGGAGTCCACATCCACTGAGCTGGTCCCCAACCTCGGCCAAAAGGCTAGTGGCGGCAAGGGCAAACATGGTATCCGAGATGGCATCTCCTGGCCTCGAGCCGACAGTGGTAGCCGTGATATCCTGCAGCCCGTCCATTACAAAGAAGGTGTGCCGGTACATCATGGCGAGGGCTCGTTTGAAGTGTGGAGATGCCGTCGGCAGAAGGCCACCCTGTCGAACAAAAGCCTCGACCTCATGGACTTGCTCCGGGGCAATCTGGAGCCGTTGCAATACCGAACACAGCTTGTCGTCGCTGACGGCAGTATCGACTATCGCCTCCCTGATAAGTCGGTAATAAGCGGCTGTGAGATCGAGAAAAACAACCGCAGATGACAGTCCCTTCAAGCTGGCGGTCCTCATCTTGGTGACGAGGAAATGCGTAAGCGCCGTAGGCAGGCTGTTGGGCAAGCATCCTTGCTGGAGCGGCGCCCGGAGCATCTCGATATTCTCAAGAAGTCCAGGTCGCATCAACTTGTGATGAATTTTCGCTGAGGGATCCATCAAAGCGATGCTCCTAAAGCTTTCCGCCCGGATCGCGAGTCCCGCCTTCTTGAAAAGGGCAGAGAGTTTGGCACCGCGATATTGGATGGGCTCGGTCAACCTCACGTGCGATTTGAGGAAGATGGGCAGCAAGGCTGCTGCCGACACATCCGGGCAGGCTTTCCAAACACAGATCGGAATCCCCGACGGGCCGGGAGCCTTTCCATCTCTGGACTGGCGAATGCAGACCTCAACCTGATGCAACGTTGGGAGGTCTTGGAGGCGGAACCTGGCGTCCGAGGGGATCTCGGCGACAGGTGCGCAAAGGCTGTCCTTGCCGACAACGTGCCCTGCCTCTTGACCTTCGAAATGTCGGCGGTGCAGTTCCTGCTGTTGGCTGTGGGTAGCAGCCGGCGCCCCTTCTGAATCATGCAGGACAGCAAGTGGCCCGAAACCCTTAAAAACTCCTTTGCCCGCAGGCCGGAAAAAGCGAAGGGCCTCAAACAGTGCTCGGACATCGGCCTTCCGTGAAGCATGAACAAAACGCTGTGCCACCTCCTCAACGTAAGCAGCCTTAGCCTGTGCAAGGCTTCTGACAAGTTCCTTGCGGAGGGCCTTCCTTTGGCTGATGAGCTGAGCCTTGGCCTCGACTGAGGCAGACAGAGTGGAGGCTATACGCAGCAAGGTGCGGCGATTGCGGCTCCTGTGTCCTGTTTGCACACAGAGGGTTCGGAAGCCGAGGAGGAGACGAGCTCTGGCAGCTCGGTGGCTCTCGTCGTGGATCTGGCCCAACAGGCTCTTCCGCTGGCGGATTAAGGCCCAGCTGTCCTCATGCACATAGGGTCTGCGTGGCTTGGGGGCAGCCGAGGCCTCTTTACAACAGGTCCAGATGGCCCGGTCAAGACAGGCAACATGTTCGTGCACATTTCCAGACCATGGATGAGAAGCAAGTGCCTGGCAGGCACCATGGACCGGAACTTGTGCCTCGCGAACCTCTTGTACCGTGCGCAGCCGAATACGTGGGTACTCGAAAGTGGGGGCACCCTCTGGCAATCCGGCAATCACTAGAGTCACGGAGACTGGGAAATGATCATCGGGCCCGCCATCATCGAAATCATGGAAAACCTGGCATGATCTCACAGCCGGAAGTAGGCTCTGGGGAAGCAGAAGGTAGTCCAAGCGGTACTTGCCCCCGGACGGCGACACCCAGGTGTAGGCAGATGGGTCCGCATGCTCCATGAGCCCTCGTGTTCCTGCGAAGGCGGAGGGTGCACAGAGTGCATGTGTCGCGCAGTGGTAGCGGAGCATCTCTCCCCCGAAAGTCTCCACATCGGCAGCATGCGCCCCTATGCCTGGCCCAGTGACCTGACCCAGCTGTGCGTTGGCATCACAGCCATAGAAGACAGGGATATGGCCGGTGCAACGAGCGCCAACTTTGAGCCCAGTGGCCTCCCACCATGTCCGGATTTCCTCAGAGGTGCATCCGGAGTGCGGCGCATGGGCGCTTACCAGGTAACAGCTCAGCCGGGGCGCGTTGAGCCTGGCAATAAGGAGACGGGGCTCCGCATGGAGCACCTTGACATGCCGCTTGTCGATTGCGCCCAAAGGAGAGGACCTCGCAACCCAGATAGCGCACCCGAGATTACCCTTATGCGCTGGCCCGCGTACCTCGTAGTAGTCTTGCGCATTGCAGCAGCCATCGCTAGCACGCGTCTCTTGGAAGAAGATGATGTGCTGTTGCTTTGCCGCAAACAGTTCCCGCAGGATGTCCTTTTTACCGCGCATCGACTGCACGTTGTAAGAACACAGATGCAGCAGCTTGGAGCCCCCTTCTTTCCGACCGTGTACCGGGAGGGCGCTCGGCACACATGACAGCGGCACTGAGTCGATCGGGTGGCTCATAGCTGCCCTCAACGAGTGCGGCAAGCGGTGGCAAGGAGGGCGCCGGCCATAAGAAGTGCCACAGCCAACCTAGGGTCGGATCCAACAGTAACCTGAGAACCTTCGCAGGGAGCGGCTTAGCCGTTTCTTGGCATGCAAACTTGGCTATGATATCCGTGAGCTCGTTGGGCGGGAGGCCCACATGGCTCGGTACCCAGGCAGCACACACAGGGCGGGGGCGCCTCTGGAGGGCCTGGAAGAGGTGCCTCGTGCGGCAGAGCAATTGTGCAGTATTGCCCAGGCGCTGACAATCGGCTAGGCCAGTGACAACCTGCAGGACGGACTGACAATCGGACCAGATGCTGAGAGGCACGTCCGGCGGGCAGGAGGAGGCCCACAGTGTAGCAACACAGAAAGCAACCGCTTCGGCATCTATGTTATCATCGGTTTAGCAGCCCAGGGCTGAAGAGAACCACTGAAGTAACCTTGAAAATTCAACCACTCTCCATACCCATCATAGCACTTTTCAAAGACAGTGACAGCCCATCCGAAGTGTCCAGGTTTCATGAAGGATCCGTCTGTGAAGAGCTGGAGCTCGGAGATGGGCCAGGCCCCGGCAGCATGTCGGCCAGATAGAGCAGCCTTTGCGGCGCCACAGACCCGGAAGGGTGGAGCCGTGGTCCAGCAGGCGGCCCAGTCGTCCAAGACAGGCAGAAGGGCGCGTAGGCTGTCCAAGCAGTGCATGGATGGGCTCGCGCCCTTGGAAGTGGGGCCACTATGCTTGTCCTCACGTGGAGGGTGAGCAGAGAGAGCATCGTCGAGGCTTATCACGCCAGGTGTGCGTTTCGTACCGCCCGCAGCCCCAAGAAGCCTCCGACCAAAGGGGGTCACAACAGCGAGTCCCCGGTGCGCAGGAGACTGGTTATGAGCCGTAGCACCTGGTTGACTGACGCCCGGGCCCTGATGATCCAGGGAGTTGCAGCCGGGGACAACGTCGGTCGTGGAGCGGGGCGGAGACGAAGCAAGTGCAGTGAGAGCGGCTGCGCCAGTTGGGGGAAGCACTCCGCGCCGGGTGACAACTTGGTGCTGCAGGAGACTCAGGCTTTGCGCTTCCTCTTCAGCTTCTTCGGCAGGCGGCTCGTCGTGAACGGCAGGAACCGCTGCGGGAGCGGTGCTTTCGCCAGCAAGACTGGGGCTGATCACCGGTCCACGAATGGTCAGCAAGTGCATGCCAGTGGATGCCGCCGCAACAGGGAGAAAACGCATGAGCGGTGTAAGTGGCAGCGAGCTGAAAGGGGGCTCGGCTCCTGGTGTCGGGTGCAGAAGGAGCAAGTGTGTCGGCGCAAAGGGGTCCGCCAGAGTGCAAGTAACATATGGTGCCGCAGTTGGCAGGGCAAGAAACGAGTCCATGACAAGTGTGTTGGCCTCGTAATCTGCTTCGACGACTGTGGTGTCGTCGGGGAACAAGCCCGAGGCCTGAAGCAACGGCGTTGCTTGTTGCACTGTTGGCGTGGTGGCAATGTCGAGCCACAGGATATGCGGTGCACGGGCAGGCTGCAGCACCCAAACGCTTTTTTTGCCAGCACCCGGCCGCCCGAGCCTGTCCAGCCGCCGCTCGAAGGCGTTGATGACAAGCTCTTGCATGCTTGCAACCCCTTGAAGTGGGGCGACACATGGTCCATTTGGGCCCTCGAAGAGGCCAAATGGCGGAAGGGCAAGGGGGAAGGACAGGCAACGAAGACGGCTAATGTGGGCCAAAAGTGGGCCAACATTACGCACAGTGCCGATATATCTCTGTGGCCCCAGCTGTTGCACAAGATCCCCAGTCTGCAAGACTCGACGCATCCCATTGACATGGATTCCATTGACATAAATTGAGGCACCTTGGCGTCTCAAGGGTCCAGCCAACAGCTCTTCGCCAAGTGCTCCTTCTCCGACTGTAATGCTATGGATTTGCGTGCCGTCCAGCCCCGGGTCGTACAAGACCGTCGGAGCCTGACCCGGGTGTGTCAGGAGCAAGGGAATCACATAATGCTGATGGCTGGTTGTCCATGGCAGAGCAGGGGGCAGTTGAAGCTGGAAAGGTTGCCCGAGCAATCCCATGCTTGCAGCAGCTTGCACAAGCTCAATGACTGCCCCAGTGGGATCTGCTTCTTGGAGCCGCACAGGAGGAAGCCTGATGGTCCTGGCCGGAGCAACAAGGATGAAGCTTACTGTCTGCCCAGCTCTGTTTCGCGCGAGTGCTTGCGTGGTGGTCGTGGATGTCGAGGTTAGCGGCGGAGCTATTGGGTCCGCTGGCCGGGCCTGGAACCCAAAGGGATTAGCCGTCAGTCGCAACACCAGCCACTGCAGGGAGGCAAGACACTCAGGGAGATGTTCGTAGATCTGGCCCTGGGCATCTTGGAAGTGGGTGGCCTCTGGAGCGGCGAGCTCCTGCAAAACCTGTCGCGCCTCGGGAACCTCAAGAAAGACAGCTTCGAGGAGCTCGTCGTGGGTCATGCCTGGCCGTAGCATAACAGGGATCACCTCTCCAGCTGGGAGGCACCGCAGATCAACGGGGAGAAGAACCCAGCAAAAGTCCATTTTGGCTTTCCCCCTTAAATCAATACGCTTTGTTTAGCGTTTACATACCCTATTTTAACAATCCTTAAATTCAGTGTTTTCACATGCCTTATTTAAAGTGCTTTTTCTTGTATGGTTTGCATGCATGTCGTGGCATGCATTATATATATATATATAATATGTATATACAAATTATGTATATGTATATGTACATGTATATATATATATATATATATATATATATACACACACACACACACACACACACCCGCCCACCCACCCACCCACCCACCCACCCACCCACACACACACACACACACACACACACACTCACACACACGTGTACACACGTACACACACACACACACACACACACTCGCGGTCGGCTTCGATCCAGGAGGGGTTCGATATAATGCTCTCCTGTCGACGTGCGATCGCGACCTATAGGAGGGGTTCCATGCAATCTCTCCTGCATGGCGATCATGGCATGATCATGCATCGGCTGCCTGCACGTGCATTTGACTCTCGATCCTTGATCATCATTTTGGCTCGATCCCTCGATTTGGGACGTCGATCGAGATTCTGTTAAACATCTTGCCAGGAACAGTAACACAGTTAGTGCAGTGCAGTTAATGTACAGGAACAGCCGTCACGCACACGCGACGTGCAAGGCTCGAGACCAGCGGACACAGTGACCCACAAGGAAAAGTGACCGCTTCAGTTTGTGAGTAGGAAGCTTAGTGAAGCCCGTTCTTTAACATGGTGGCGGAGCTGCCTCCAGGAACCTCCTTGGCAGCGATGATGCTACTCGTAGCCATAGGAACCATGATGCTCGGCGCCATGGCAGTTTGCCTCGTTGCCGGATGGAAGCAGATGCGCGCGAATGAGCAGATTACCAAGAAGACAGAGACAGTGCTCAACATGCCCACGCTCAGGATCGCAGTCCGTTCAGGAACAAAGTACCACCGCAGAGGTTGTGGACACCTTCGTAACCACAACGTGACAGCAGGAAACGCGCGAGACTTTGACGCTTGCAGCGATTGCTACCCCGACCGAGTGTTGGTGGAAGAGAAAGAGAAAAGGAACATGAAGTGCTACGGTTTGGCAGCATGTATGGTGCTGCTGGTTGGTTTCGCACTGGGAAGCCTCGCAACTTTGTGCGGGATGATCTTGGTCCCAGGAGCAGGAAGTATGGCGGTGAGACCGTGGAAGGCCCTTGGCAACAAAGTGGAGACCAAGGAAGAACTTGCCCTTGGAGACGCCTTATCCTCCAAGGAAGCGAGCCGTGGGAGAAAGGAACTACCGTACGGTGAGAGTGACGAGAGCGAGCTCATGGCAGTGTGGTCGAGCAGAAGGAAGCCCAATACGCACCCCAATACGCACCGGAACCGCTACAGGAACTATGACGTGTACGGCGAGTACTACCAGCAAGGCTACAACGAGTGCAGCGTGAACCCCGACGGCACCAACGTGAACACGATCAGGAACACGAACGCGTACACGATTAAGGACTATGTGGAGAGAGGAAAAGTCATGGTACCGTACGCTTTGTTGTGCGCGAACCAAGTGATGAACGAGCTCTACAGCGTCGTTAGCGTGACCGGCGAGTACTACACGGAAGAGAACAGGAACGGCGACCAGAACACCGAGAACCAGGAGAGAGAGAGCCTTGAGTCAGGCTACGCCCCTAGGTACCTAGTAAAACAACAGCGAGAAGTACTGAGGAAAGTTGTACAGGAACATGTTCACAGTTTCGTAGAAAAGCTAGCAACCGTAGGAAAGCAGTTTCACGACGTCGTGCATGTGATAGTTCAGGAAGTCATTTCCAACAGAGTTGTATTTCAAGGAATTCGCATAGCAGTGTTCTTAGGAACCCCAATGGGACTGATGACTTGGATCACCCTGTCGTACTATTCTAGTGTGTTTTTCGCAAGAGCAAGCAACCGCTCAAAGCACCAAAGGAAGACAAGAGGAGAAAGGAGAGCACAAGCAGTGAGCAGGAAACAGTGCAAGTCACTACTTTTAGCAGCACTAGTGTACAGCAACCTTGAAGCAGCAAAAGGAATGGAGGATGCATTGAAGGCACTTGCCGAGATCAATGCACAGACCTTACAAGGAATACAGACACTAGCAGAGGAGATCAGGAATTCAGCAGCTTCAGGAAGTCAAAGAGAAGCAGGACTCACACAAGCATTCCAGGAAACCCTGACAGCAGTTCAGGAACAACAGAAGACAGCACAAACAGCGTTAGCAGACGCTCACACGAACGCAGCAACGACACTTGAGGAGATAGGAGCATCTCTGGAGAAAGCAGTAAAGGAACAAAGAAGGCCTGGAGAAGTGGAGTTGCACAAGCTGATTAAAAGCCCCGAAGCATTTTCCCCAGGAACATGGCAAGAAGAGAAGAGTGGATGGACAGAGTTCAGGAACAGGATGAGGATCTGGCTTGGAGCAGTGGATTCCAACATGGTGAAGATCATGGACATCGCAGAAAGGAACCTAAAAGATGATAAACAAGTGAAGATGGCTGAGATGTCTGCAGAAGCAAAGGAAACAAGCCGACGCCTGTACAGTGTTCTTTGTTCGTACACTAAAGGAAGGCAGTACCGAGTTGTAAAGCATGTAGCTGAGGAAAACGGTATGGAAGCTTACCGTATGCTACTCAAGGAATATCAACCAACGAATCGTGCGAGATCGTTGGAGTTGTTTCACAACATTCTCAACTACAAATTTGCTCACAACAAAGGAATTGCCGAGAATATCCTCGAATATGAGGAACACATCGAGAAGTACGAGAAGGCGACTGGAGAAAAGGTACAGGAGAATTTGAAAGTATCTACTCTTATCCAAGGTATGAAACCTGACGTGAAAAGGCACTTGTTGCTCAACATGGATGAGAAGACACAGTACAATACTCTTCGTCAGTACCTTGTGAACTATGAGTCAACCGAGCGTTGGACTAACTCTTTGGCAGCCCAGCAAGAAACACCTCACCGAACCACAACAGACTTGATCGACAAAGGTGATGACCATGGTGGTCTTGCAGCAATGGATATCAACCAAGCATGGTACAAAGGAAGGAAAGGCTATGGCAAAGGTTATGTTCACCATAAAGGGAAAGGTAAAGGAAAAGGCAAGAAAGGTGGAAAGGACTTCGGAAAAGGTTTCGGCTTTGACAGCAAAGGAAAAGGTAAAGGTAAAGGTTTCGGAGGTTTTGGCAAAGGCAGAGGTCGAGGCAACTGGAAAGGCCGAGGTAGAGGTTTCAGAGGTTACAAAGGAAAAGGCAAAGGTCGAGGAAGAGGTTTCTTCAGACACAAGGGAAAAGGTAAAGGAAAAGCCCAAGCAGCTACAGGAGTGTGTCACTACTGCCATAAGTATGGGCATTTCGAAGCACAGTGTAGGCAGAAGATGCGTGACATGGGTTATCAGGCAAGGAACGTTGACCTTGAAAACCAGAGCGAGCAAGCGAGCACTACAGGTACTTCGACTCAGGCCCCTTCGTCAGCCAACAAGACCTCAACAAGCCAAAGCCAAGCAAGCCAAGGAACCCAAAGACCAGTGATTAGGATGGTCTCCATGTACCAAATGGGAGACGAGCCCACAAGCTTTCCGGAGGAATTCGAGATGAGTGAGAACTCTGATGAGATAGAGATTGAGTACTTCGGAAGAGTTTTGCGGGTTGTTGGTGAAGAAGTTCAGGAAGAGAGAAGTGAGACAGAAGAGTTTTGGATTGGTGATGAAGATGATGAGTTTCAGGATTGTGATGAGGTGAGTGATGACACATGGTTGCAATGGCACCTAGAAGGAACTCCGATAGGAACTCAGGACCGTGGATACTACTTTGAGTGTCCCAATGGATGTCATGAAACACCGTGGCACCCAGACATGCAGGAATGTGAGAACGGATGTCACCATCCTCCTAGAAGGAACAGAGTAGAGAGAACAGCACCCTCAAGGACCATTACTAGGTTTGCGCGTGCAGCGAGGAACACGAGAACTCGAGAGATCGAGGTTGTGCTGGATTCAGGAGCCGACATTTCGTTGGCACCAATGTGGATGAAGAAGTACGGAAGGAAAGCACCCAACACTACCAAGGTAGTTTTGCGAGATGCGCAAGGATCCCGAATTAAGGTTTCAGACCAAAGGATTATTGAAGTTGAGTTTCGGGATATTCAAGGAAACATTGTGAAGGTTGAAGAAGTGTTCTTGATTTCATCGGTTGTGCACCCTCTTTTGGCAGTAGGTAAACTGTTGAAGAAAGGCTGGGAGTTCAGAGATGGAACAGCAACAGGCACTTTCCTAACAGAAGGAACAACCAAGATAGCAGTGAACTACAACAACAACTCACTTACAACAAAAGCCTTTGTGAGAGCAGTCAACTGGGAAGCAGAAGCAAAGCCTATCCCTATGTACTTGTGCGAGAACTTGAAGGAACTCATTGAAGAACAGCGTGTTGGTTGGACCAACTGGCGAGACCCTTACCAAGTCCACTTCAGCCTAGGAACCTCAGAACACGTTGACACTTACTTGATGTTTCCACCAGGAAAGTTCGCATATCGAGCAGTGCTTATTGAGGATGATGATCAGTGGTATTTGTTGCATCACAGCATCATGTTTGAGGAACTTGAAGAACCGTTTGGAACAATCTTCGATGGCAGTAAGGAGTACCGCACACTTACGCTAGTATCGCTCAAGGAATTTCCGCTGAACCTCATAGGCACCCCCAAGGAAGATGAAGATCGAAAGATGTTTGAAGAGTACACTGAGGATGCATGGTCAATCAGCATGGATGGCACTACACTCACGAGGTACCAACAACTCGTTGAGGAAGACTTTGTTCAATCCTCGAGATACCAATGACATTCCAGTAGACATTGGAAACCTCAAACCAGACAGGTACACGTATGGAGAAGAACCGATCAACAAGGATTTCTTTGAGGATGACAAGTTCT